CAACCTTGGGTGTCCAGATGTTCTTGGACTGCAACTTGGCTTAGAAATCTTGGCCAGCTCGTGGTGAAGACTTCTGGGTGTTGTAGTCCAAGAAGATCTGGGGGCCCAAGGTTCGGAATCACCAGCCCTTGGAACCAATACAGGCCATAACACATGCTAGAAACTGGGGTAGAGGGAACAGTGTGGGCAGAATCACTACAAAATCAACAACTTATGAGCCCCTGTTGGCAGAACAGAAAACAGTATACGCCCAGGAAAACAGACCTGGTTTACTTGCAATTAGCTGTACATCATGTCGTTGACTGAAAACACATTGAATTTACCCCATGCCAACTTTGACACAAACCATGGAGTAAACTACCACGTAGTCACACCTCAATCCCATCGGCCTCAAGGTAGAGGCTAAACCATGGGCTTCACATTCACCAGCGGAAATCAACAGGATTTATTAAAAGAGCTTTATTTTCACTGGGTTTTGCCTCGTCATTTCCAAACTCGAAACCCTTGCCCAATCCCCACATATACAAATAAGACACAGCACCAAAATCCCACAAGGCGGAAATATGAATCTTTTGAGCCTTGTCATCTACCCACATTCCCTACATTATGGGCAGTGAGAGCCCTCTTCATATGTCTCTGTCTGGCTATTTCTCGAATCTCTCCCGTCAGACAAAGCTTATTAAGAGTTCCTGGGGGAGAAAGTGTTTTAAATCAACCCGAGGGCCGTCGGCCGTTGTGCGAACAGAACTGCTTTCCAAAAGAAGTTGGAGAAACTTGGTTGCTTTGGCCTAGGAAAGTGCTCAAGAGTCTTCTTGGATGGTCTTGTCCATGTTGAAAAGCAGTTGGGATTGTCTTTCCTCAGAGTCTGTCCTCCATTGAACAGCTAGTCCCTGTGTCGAAAGGGTGTGAGGCCAGGTAATCCTTGTAGTGTCCATCTATCAGCTTCTCTGCGTTGTTCCTGGCAAACCAGCAGTCCACTTCCTGCTCCCCGTTGTAGATCTTCCTTTGCTTCCACACCACAGGGACGGAACGCCCTTTCAGCTTTAAGGTTGCCCCAGGGTTTAAGTTCATGCCCTTGGTTTGGTCCCTACTGGCGGCATGATGAGTTGGTTCCAGGGACTCCTGGATCAGCTGGACGTCTTGGTGTAAGAACTGACCTGTATAGAAGAGATAGAAAGCCAGTGAGTGTTGCCAGGAGCTAAACGTAGCCACACAATGTTTACTTCTCAGATCTTATTCAGCTGTCGCCACAGGGATCCTCCCTTTCAATTTTTATTTATCAACATGTCTTGTATCATCGTTTGATTGGTAGTGGGTAGATTTTTTTATTTAGCTACGAACCACTCAGGCCGGTGGATTTCCACTCGGTGGGTGGTATGAAAATGGAACAAACGAACACCTCTTGATCAGCGTTGAGATGGGAATTGGTGATTGGCCTCCATTTTTGAAGGAGGAATGGAAGGTTTAGCAAGAAGGTAGATGAGACGTCTCCTCAACATAGAGCCCTCCAAAGGCTTTGTACTACAATGCCCACCAGACACAGCCAGCATGGCTTATTACTGTGGATGATGGGTTGGTAGTCTGGAACTTTTAGAGAGCCGCATGTTGGGGGAAACTGAGGTAGGTACAGCAAGAGCACCCAAACATCGAAAAATTAAGTGCCTGGTTACTGTTAATTGTCTGTTTGTCTGTCTCCAGCTTAGTTCCAAGACAGTGAAACATAATTGGCTGAAACATGACAAGTCTTATCTTCTAAGGCTGCTTCATACATGTTGAGAAACCCACCTGCCTTCTCCTTACCTATCAGCCCGTGAGAGTTTGCAGAAAGGCCTTGGCTGTTAGAGATGTAGAACCCCAGATGGTCCTTCTGGTAAGGGGCAGGGTTCTTATAGTGGTGGATCAGAATCACAAACCCGATGGTGCCCCGCAGGACCACGGTGACATTGGAGAGGGCAAAGATAGAGACCTCGAGGTTCTTGCTTGCCACCGTGGCACTGCGGGCACAAGGCAGGACAAGCCTCTTCCCGTCATCCAAGATGACCTTTGTGGGCGTGACCTCCAGGTAGGACCTCTCCGGTTGGTTATTGAGGATGGTGATGCTGCGGAAGTAGGTCCTCTGTTTCTTGTGTCCGTGGCGGGGGGCCGGAGCGCCTATGAGTTGGCCGTTCACAGTCACACCTAAAGACACAAGGAAAGGAGAGTAAAACAAAAAGATTTGGTGTCTCTCATGAGAAATATGTTGAGAGATACACTCTTAATGAGGTTGTATAAAGTCTGGTGTATGCAGTGGATAAATCTCAGCTAGTTGAGGGAGCATCTACCTGCTCAGTTGTTAAGATCCGTTGTGGGGGGACTCCTCTGTGTCCCGCCACTCAAATTGATACTTTAATATGGATCTCCCTTTTACAAAAAGATTTGGTGTCTCTCATGAGAAATATGTTGAGAGATACACTCTTAATGAGGTTGTATAAAGTCTGGTGTATGCAGTGGATAAATCTCAGCTAGTTGAGGGAGCATCTACCTGCTCAGTTGTTAAGATCCGTTGTGGGGGGACTCCTCTGTGTCCCGCCACTCAAATTGATACTTTAATATGGATCTCCCTTTTACTTAGTCTGGTGGGGGGACTCCTCTGTGTCCCGCCACTCACATTGATACTTTAATATGGAGCTCCCTTTTTCTTAGTCTGGTGTGTGTGTGTGTGTCAAAACAGACGTTATAGTGAGTCTTGTTGTTAGAAATAAAGCTCTCTTCAGAAGTAACATTCATTTGTGAAACCGTAGCATCAAATGTCTCAGCTCAAGAAAGTCCAGATTAGCATGGATTTTTTTTTTACTAATTGGTCACTGGGAAATAAACACATTATTTTATGTTTTGCTTCTGTTTTTAATATTGTTCGTATTATGAGTTTTATTGTAATTTTTTTAACATTCTTAATATTGTAATAATTTATTAATTGGCTTTTAAATTTGTTTCTTTTAAATACTACAAGTGGCCTTGGATCGATCCTTCAGGAGAAAGGCAGCATATGAATATTTTAAATAAATAAAAAGTATACACTCTGTTTGCAAGTTAATGGTGCAAATACAGCTGCCAAGAAGGCCGGCAGTCTTTTGAAGAAACATTTCATCACCTTCTGATTCTGCAGCTAGCGTGTCTACTTCAGCCCTGTGTTTTCTCTGCAAACCTTCTCCTCTCAGAATGGTTTCTGTGACAGCTCACATGTTTTGAAGACTAGCTCCTTGGGAGCGAAAAGGTTCCCTATATAATACCTTGGATACTTCTGGAATAAGGAGAAGTCCTGTCTTGACCAGCAAAAACAACTTGATAGACCTGCTTCATATTTTCCCCCTCAATGAGGGGGAACACAAGAGGGTTACAAGGGAGAGATGACTTAATGATTAAGAGGATGGATAAAACTTGGAAAAACCTTCACTCAACCATGAAATCCTCAGTTCAACCCATTTTACATGCTTTGTAAAATGAGATCAGAGTTGAGGAGGAGTTCCTTAGAGATAAGACAGGATATAAATATTGCATTAATTGGTGCCTCTTTCTCCAGGTCTGTGAAATTCAACAAAGGCTACACTGCTGTCAGCCAGACCTCAGACGAAACATTGGTGTCCCTGGATTCAGACAGGTGAGGGTGTGGAGCGGCCATTTTATTTACCTGGCGGCCATTTTGGAACCGCCGATCAGCTGTTCTAAAAAGATTGTTATGCAATAATCGGTAAGCGAAACAGCTTACCGATTATCGCAAAGCGATTTTTTACTATTTAAAACATTGTCATGCAATCGCTTTTGCGATCGCAAAAACACATCGCTATGCGGATTCATCGTTAAATGAATCGCTCATTATGCGGGGCACCACTGTATAGGAAACCCTCAAAGGGCCACGGAATGAGCAATTTAAATTGACATTCTTTCCAAATCTCTTTCCCCAATGTATTTTAAAGGAAAACATTATTGTAGCCATCTGTCTTTCTTTTTTAATTGATGTACAGTACTGTATTTCAGAAGAGGCCTAAGTTTTATTGTTTTATGATACTAGAGGTAGAGAAAGGGAAGGTCCATGTCTTTACACTTTGCATACAAGGACTGTGTCCCCATAGTTCACTAGGGAGACTACATTCAAACTGCAATGAGGCGGGATCTCCTCAAAGGGAAGGGCCTGCTTGGTGGACATGGGCAGGAAAAGTCAAGCAGGCTGGAACACTGGAACATCCCACTTTAAATGGGATTTAAATGGGATTTGTGGAGAAACAGTCCATTAATTCATAACCTCTATAGCATATGCTTGAGCCAAAGTGTGAAAAATTCCCAGAGTGACTTGCAGTATAAACACAGTGCTTAATATTCAAAAGGCATGGAATCAAAGGAAGGTGGGATGAGGAGGAGAAAGGATGTCGAAATTAAACTAGAGCATCACTTTGAATGCCATCAGGTTCTTAAAATAATCAGGTGGCTGAAATCCTGTTGTGCAGTTCCATGTGCACAACACAGAGATGCGCAAGTGGTACTGAAAACCATGGACGGCAGAAGTGCAGTTCCTGAGGTGTTTCTGGATGTGTGCCACTCAAGGGTTGCAATGGGAGCAGCACGTTCAACTACGCAATCCAGTTGTGCCATTTGGACAACCTGGGCATACCGTTGGGAATGCTTGTGAAAGTGTGACTTCACATTATCCAAAGACTAACTGGATTTCAGCCGATATGCTGTGGTAACCAATGCTGCAGTACAACCAGACGCTGTTGGTCTTCTCAGGATCAGCTGATTTCTCAAGAGCACTGATGGAGTTTCTTTCCTATGAATGGATATTGGACCCAGTGGAACCTCCAGGTTCAGAGGCAGTAGCCTTCTGAAGACATCTTGCTGGGGAGTAAAAAGATGAAGAGGGCTTTATACTTTCATGTAGAGATGGGCACAAGCTGCCACTTCCTCCGACAGGCACCCACTCAGAGGCAGTGGCCTGGCTTCCTTGCCCTGCCTCCTCTGTGCACTGCCTCTAAGTGGGCACCTGCCAGAGGAGGCAGGGCTGGTAACCACAAAACACCTATTTGGCTGAGAAACGAACCAACACGAACCACTGGTTTGTTGGTTCGTGCCCATCTCTATTTACAACACCGAAGTAAAAGGACCAAGGATCTGATTTAGTATAAGGCAACTTCTGACGTTGCTATGGTATGTTATAAGCACAAAGTAGCCCTAATTGCTGGGGAAAATAATTCCAAGCAATTTGTTATCTGTCCCTATTTACTTCCACATTGTGCTCTTGGATTATGGAGAAGGTAGAACTGGAAAATTGGAAGAAGCGGTAATGTATAGCTCTCACTTTAAAACATTTAAAATGTATAAAACCTAACTATTGCACTGCCTTAATTTTTTCTTTTCATGTTTTTCTTTTCCCACTCACAGTCAGGTTTGGGGCTTTGCTGCTTCCTAAGTAATCCTCTTAAAAAGCACAGCTGCTTAAAAATTCCTGGAGAGATCAGCAAGTTGAGAGACCCTGTCCCCTAAAGATAGGAGCATTTTAACTCAAGAAGTCCCATGGTTTGATTAGATTTTATTCTGGAGAGAAGACTTATAGCATCAAATACTAGGGATAAAAACGTATGTTAAGAGTTGTATGAATGGAACGCCTTCAAATCTGCATATTCAAAAAGCAATTAGTGGAGGGAGGATCCTGCCACGGTGAGAGAGAAGGATGTGACCATATCTCTCTCTGCACCAAGGTCCTGGTTAAAATCAGGTGCCTTTCCCCATCATGTGACCTGCTGTTAAACTAAGGGTAGACATTGTGGCCATGTATTTTTGCTGCATGGCTCCACAATCCTCCAAACACAAAATTGTACCCATGTATTTTCTTTTCCATGGCTTCACGTTTAAAGGCAACATTCATAGGGGATTGTTTGGAAATCTGCTAGAACTTGGAACATTTCTTTATTCATTTTCTTTCTCTTTATTATTCTTTCCTTTATTTCTGTCCTACCTTGTACCCCCTGTAAAGGTAAAAGGTAAAGGTTCCCCTTGACAGTGTTTGTCCAGTCGTGTTCGACTCTAGGGGATGGGGCTCATCCCCGTTTCCAAGCCATGGAGCCAGCGTTTTGTCCGAAGACAATCTTCCGTGGTCACATGGCCAGTGTGACTTAGACATGGAACACTGTTACCATCCCACCGTGGTGATACCTATTTATCTACTCACATTTTTGCATGCTTTCGAACTGCTAGGTTGGCGGGAGCTGGGACAAGCGACAGGCGCTCACTCCGTCGCGTGGATTCGATCTTACGACTGCTGGTCTTCTGACCCTGCAGCACAGGCTTCTGCAGTTTAGCCCGCAGTGCCACCACATCCCTTGTACCCCCTGCCCTCCCCCCAAAAGGACCTAACACATTTTGGTCTGTTATTTTCGAAAGTGCCAAATCCAGATTCCATGTTGTGGTGTTGCATTTACTGGGGCATTTTCAAAGGGCACTTTAAGGCATTGCTGATGCACAATGGAGCAAATCACTTGTGTGAGAAGTGAGTAACGCAACAAATCCCTTTTAAAATGTAACACTCCAAGCTCTGTTTTTAAAACCCAGTTCTATTGATCCAGCAGCCAAACCCCACAGCAACAGCACCGTCGCTTACCGACCTTCGCTTTGCGACCTGCGGATCAGCTGTTAGGCGGCTCCAAAATGGCCGCCGGAAGCCCTGAAATGGCCATGTGCAGTGTTTTCGCGCCCTCGCTAAGCGAGGGGAGGGCGCGAAAATGGCTGCTGGCCATAGGAAAACATCGCATAACGGTGAGTTTTCGGCCCATTTGGAACGCATTCAACGATGTTTAATGCGTTCCAATGGGTTTTCTTGATCCGTTGAGCGATGTTTCCCATAGCGACGGTTAATCCGGAACGGATTAACCTCGCTATGCGGGGCACCACTGTATTAAAGAAGAATTAATAGTATCGTATGAGAAATGTTAGTTACAAGCATTACGAAAAACAGATTTAGAAGCAACACAATATAAACTGTCTCATTTATTGTCGCCTTGGGCCTCCAGATGTTGATAGGCTATAACTCCCAGAAGCCTTCACCACCACCTCTGCTGGCCAGGATTTCTGGGAGTTGAAGTCCAAGAACATCTGGAGGCCCAAGGTTGGGGGACCACTGGCCTAGATGGTCAGTCACCAAGGAAAAGCCTGCCTGGAGAGAAAGCTTTAATGATGCCAGAGTTCAGTACATTGGATATTAAGTGAACACAACACCCCCCAAATTAGCTGATAGGCTCCTTTTCCCACTTGTCCTGAGGAACAGGACATGGAAATAACTTCTTTTTTAAAAAACTGTAGTATAGTAACTAAGTAAAGACTAGTACAGTAACTAGATTTTGAGGCCTTAGAACTGTTGGTATATATAAAAGTAACCGACAGGATTTGGGACAGCCAGTTAGGGCTTACAAATGTAATAGTGTTTAGATGAGAGAGTCACTTATTTACTGGAAAAAATATGTCTGTTAGTAAGTCAAGCAGATGTATGACAAATATCAAATGCCCAACCACTATGAGTTGTGTTATATTTTACACATATTTCTAAGCAGTAAATGTTATTTAATGTTTTAAGAAAGACAAAGGTGATTATTTACTATCAGTTGCTGGCACAAACACACATATAAGGGAGAACATCAAATTTTACTCTACACAGTGGTTTTTTAAATCAAGCAGCTGTGTGCGGACTTCGCAAGTTCGAAGTTATATATTATTTATTACAGCCAAAAGCCAACAAGCACTCATCACTTTATTATTTTTTGAATGTTACTTTGCAAGTTCTTTAGGATCATAAACTGTAGGATTAAACAGGGATGCAATGAAATTGGTGCCACCTGAGATGGAAATCTCAGAAATTGTTTTCTCTTTTCTGATCCTGGTTTGCAAAGCGAGCATGAACTGTAGCTTGCAAAGTTCCAAAAGAATGGGAAACAATGGTTTGCCAGAGTCAACTAAAGAAGGGAACCAAAGCAAATCAGCATCTGGCATTCATCTGAGGAACCTCTCTGTGACGTTCTCTCTGAGATACCTTTGCCATTTTGCTGTTGTCATAACATGGAAATTCAAGTTGTGTTCTTAGTTTCAAAACCAGTTACTCAGTCCTTAGCTTCCTGTTCAGAAAGAATGCTCCCAGCTAGCATTAGGAAACAAGAAGCTTCGGAGGAACTAAGGTCTAGCTAAGCCACAAAGTCTTCCAGTTTAGGCCTTTCCCCCCAGGTGTTTTCAAGGTGCATATAAATCACATATTTTTAGAATCAGGAATTATGAGATTTGTAGTCCAAGAAATTAAAAAAAACATCCCATCCTTAACCAACAACATATGGGAACTTCTGGTTTACTAATTGTGGGTAATAAAACTCACCAGATGTTTTGGTCACATTCATCCCTTGCTTCTTTGGTATTTCTAGAATTGAACCTAATGTTGGAAAGAATGAAAAGAGGAAAAAATACTTTATAATGGTTAAATATTATAATTGCTATTAGTCTGATTTATAGCCTTTCCTTTGTCATGGATGTTCGGGGCAGCTGACGGTTTAATTAAAAACATAATTAAAACCACTCATTTCAAATACAGTGGTGCCTCGCTTTACGATCGCTCCGTTTAACGACAAAACGGCATTACGACAAACTTTTTGCGATCGCTTTACGATGTTTCCTATGGGAAAATTTCACTTTACGATGATTGGTTCTCTGCTTCGGGAACCGATTCTTCGCAAAACGATGATTTTCGAACAGATGATCGG